TCTGATAAGCAAATGTTCCACATGCTCAACATATTCCTTTAATATAATTTCCAACATTCTTGCAGTAAATCTCCCACAGTAAGTACTTGACTACGGTAAAATCTTCTTTAACAAAAGCAAATGTTCTGATAAGCAGATGTTGCACATGCTCAACATATTCTGATAAGTACAAAAATAGATTACATTCAGTGTTAAACCACATGTCGGAGTTTGGACACCTTACAAAAGCAAAACTCAAGATCTTTTATCAAATGACCACGAAAGTACCTCGAACAAGAACAAGGGATCACATTTACATGTTTCCCTATATTCAAAAGCAGCCTATAATGACAAGAACTGGTTATGAACGTGGTTTATATTGCACAAGGGATTGATAATACAATCTTCTGTGCGACGATGCCACATTGTATTATTTTCAATGTGAATAACAAGACAAAAGACAAATCAATACATAAAGTAAATTGCACAAACATTGACTAAACATGATTCTTTTATTCAAAATGAAAATAATGCTTTCCGTATACAAACAATCAATACTCCACCTTATTTATTGGGCCACTAATAATAAATAATTACACTAGATATTTATTGTTGCATTTCCTTTTCCTCACCCCAATTACATGGGTTCCACTATCCTCGATTTATATCCACACGTTAAAGATATAAAGTTCGTTAATTAATTTAATTACTAACAATTTAATCAGTTAACTTCTTGTCCATACCACTCAATCCTTATTATTATACCATAACTTAATCTACTTGTAGGGTTTAACATAATAAAACTTTTGAGCTCGTTTCGGAAACGTCTTCAACCTGGCACACCAGTACATATCGACCGAATATAATCGACAACACACCATGTAAATATTAATATTTCTCAACGCACCTGTTATTGACCTAGCGGAATAAGTCTCAGCCTTTGATGAATGAAAGGAATAAATATTAAATACACGTGCTCGTTATTATCAGACAGCTTAAGAGTATGAGCGATATCATGCATTCTAGTTTATTTACTGGGTCAGTATTGAATAAACTTCTCCTCAGTGGTCCAGTTTAATACGCACAAAATGGACTAGTATAATTCATTAGTTAAGATAAACTAACTCAAATTATACTATAACCATACCGATAGGTTTGTCCTTTGCTATCTCAGTTATGAACCTTATTTATATTGCACAAGGAACCGATAATATAATCTTCTGTGTGGTGACGCCACACTATAATATCTTCATTATGAATAACAAGACAAAGTTTTCATTGCCATATTCGAACTATAAACGCAAACACTTTCGACTAATTCAGCCAACCGACTGAGTATCAGTACTAATGGATCGTGTACTAGCACCAACCGAATGAGTCATGCCACCTATGGAGTGAGTCCGCCAGCAACCCGAGAGTGCTCTGAGTCTTCAGGGATGTATGGATATTTTGAGTAGATTTGCAGTATAAAACACCTATTTTTCAAGTCTCTTCGACATAAAATTTCAATTCATTACACACCTTCTCTTTCTTGTAGTTTTATTCTTTCTCTCTATAACTTGTTCCAAGACTTAATTTTTATTATTTTATTCTCTATCTGGATTTCAACATTTTGGTTTGTTATTACTCTTGGATGCTATTGAAAGCTTGAAAAGGTTCAAGTTTTCAGGTTCTTATCTTTTTGGCTTTGTGATAGTATTTATAGTAAAGATTGAATCTTTCTTGAGTATGGTTGGCTGAATTTTCCTAAGGGGAAGAAACTTTTGATGGAATGCTAGGTCATCATTGAGTGATGCCCTACATTGCATGCGTTAATTATTTAAATGTTGATACTTAAAACATAGCTTGACTTATTAAGGCTTTTACGGGGTCCGATGGGCTTGTATCTAGACTGGAAACTATTAATTTGGGATAGAACTCATTGAGATATCACAGGTCCCATCTATTATGTTAGAATATCACTTGTGAGTTGTCCCACATCGTTCATATATGGAAAATAGACCCACCTTATAAGACTAATGGGCTACTCCTCCTTCCACCAATTGGTTTTGGGATGGAACCCCATTTGGGCTTCATATGGGTTTTTTTCCTTCTTTCATGGTGTCCTTCATGGTAGTGGGCCAGCACCAATTTTCCCCAGTTTCTGTCATGGTATCAGAGCCGATTCTATCTGGGACCGTGTGATGACGTACCCATTGTTTATCCCCCACGTACCCGTTTATGGGAGCCTGTTTGTAGTAGGGCTTGGGGCACCCAGCCCAGTTGGGTTTGGGCTTTCGAAGGACTCACAAGTGAGGGGGCGTGTTAGAATATCACTTGTGAGTTGTCCCACATCGTTCATATATGGAAAATAGACCCACCTTATAAGATTAATGGGCTACTCCTCCTTCCACCAACTGGTTTTGGGATGGAACCCCATTTGGGCTTCATATGGGTTTTTTTCCTTCTTTCATGGTGTCCTTCATGGTAGTGGGCCAGCACCAATTTTCCCCAGTTTCTGTCATATTATATTGACTTAACGCACCCGCGTACCTCTAAGTTGGTCATGGATAGGAATTTAGTCAGCTAACTTGGCACTACAAATTGAATCGCTGTCGTTTGAACTTCCATCAGTGAAATCGCATATATGATAAATTAGTTGAGACAACATCGATACCTTGCAATGAATTGGATTTACAAATAAAAAAGTGAAAATATTAGGGGAAAAAATAAATAGAAAAATGAATTGATAGAAAAAAAGGGAGCATTGTGTATTACTTGAACAATAGATAGATCCATTGGGGGTTGATTGGTTATAAGTTTTTTATTGAATAATTTAGTTTTTAATGGTTTTTTTGATTAATCTGGATGAACATTAACAATGTTGGTTGAGCAAAGTTTGAGTAGGATTTTGAATTTATATTAAAATAATATTTAAAATAAAATAATTAAAGTTAATATGATATAAAAGTAGGAGAGAAGTGATTATAAGTGATGTATAGTTAAAGTTATATGAGTAGATGAATAGTGAATTAAAGTTGATGTGATGACTAAGGATGATTGATTTATATTATCTAATTATATTGATAATATTGAGAGTTGTGTTTAGTTAAATTTGAGTTAAATTTTGATTTAAGAAAAAATGATTGGTGAAAAGTGATTGAAATTCTCTTATCCAAGCACTTCTTAATTTATTGATTTCTAATGTAAAAACCAGATTTATGGAAAATGCAGTTGCTTTTGATTCTGCATCTCTATAACAAGCATCTGGTACCAAGAGAGGGCTTCCTAAGTCAGTCAGGTATGGCTTTGTTCCATCTAATATGATTCTCAACAGTCAGTCAAACGAGTTCTCTGATGATGGTATACAAACCGGTCAATCAGTTAAGGAGACTGAGCGCCTTATATTTTTATAAGAATTTACTATCGTCAGAGGTGGCAACAGAAGCGGGTGAGCAACAGAAAATTATGATTTGAAGATAGAAAGTAGACTAACAGTTTTCTAAACTGTAAATATGTGTTTTATTTATGAAATTTATCATTTCATAATAAAAAAAGAAAAATAGAAAGTAGACTAGGGCATAACTCAAAAGAAGACATAAAATGAGAGGTGAAAAAGCGTACCTATTCCCATGACTGCGTGTAATGGTGTGAGCAGCACCCAAACAATCTTTTCCGCACGGGTATAACAAGTGACTACATTGAACTCCAAAAGCTGATTACAAAGGGCACAAAGTAAAAATTCTCTCTTAAAAAATCTCCCTAAATTCTCTCTCGCTCGCCTGCCATAATTTCTATGCCGCGTGCCTTCCCCCGTGGGGCATCGGGCTCTTTGCCAGCGGTCGGCCCTGACCGCGTAGCCTTGCCCTCGATTTTGGATTGCTTTTGGTCAATTTGCGCCGGTGGAAGCAGATGGACGTCCCCGGGTGGTTCTCGCCTTTGTTCTGGTGTCGTCTTGTGGTGGCGGGTCGTCGGCTTCCCTAGCGTTGCGGTGGTGACAAGCAGCGGTGTGTTGTCGGGGGAGGTTCTGGCTCTGGCTGTTTACGACGGTTGTGTCAGGGTGGCCAGGGTAGTGGAGCGGCTCCTAGGACCCCTTTTTCCCTTGGGGTGGTCGACCATGGGTTCCGCTCTTGTTTTGCGCTTGGTGTGGTTTGCTTGTTGTGGGAAGGGCCTTAGTTATCTTTAGTATTAGGTGTGTTTGTTTGTGCTTTGTGTGTTTAGGCTTTGCGTTTTTGGTTTTGTGTTTTCTTTCGGCTGGGAGTGTGTAGTCTCTCGTGTGGGAGAGGTGATTCTCCATTATTGGAGCTTTGTAGTTTTTGTTGTGTTTGTAGGTGCATTGTCTAGTTTTTGTAGCTTAGATTTTAGACGATTTTCAAATTTGTCCTCCCATCTTTAGTTGACTTTTTATCTGTCTCATTGAGCACAGGAGCGGATACACATTGACATTGGGGGAGGCCATTGTCCCCCCAAAATTTCTTCAAGGATGTGTAGATATACTCCTATTGAACTTATTTTTTTGCATTAAATAAAAAGAAAAACAAAAAATCATGTACGTTAGCTATAATTCTTGTAAGTTCTCTATACGCAATCTTTTATATTATTTTGTTTTTTATTTATATTCTATGATATATAATATATGAGAATTAACTTGATAAACAAAAACACTCTAAATACGTATTTTTTGTGGTTGAAAAAAAAAATAATAACTGAGAGAACTAGAGCCTAATTTTTTTATTTATTTTTTTATTTTAAAAGTTTATTGATTTAATATTTATAGCTTTCATTACTTAAATAAAACTAAGCAATCCTAGTTGTACCGTAATTTGGAATGTATGCATTTTTACTTTTACATTAAATGTATGACATTATTGAAAATAATATTGTCCCCAATATTTTTCTAAATCCGCCACCGATTGAGCGGGGTTGTTTTCTAATTTGTACATTTATGTATTTTTTTATAAATTTTTTTGAAAAACAAAAAGAACTCCAAAAAGCTGCATAAATTAAGCATAAAGGGTAAAGTGAGGGATATTTACGTCCAACGACGCCTTATGTTAGTGAGTATAATTTTTGATTTTTGTTTGTTTTTTTGTACATCTCGTTCTTCTTCCTCCTCTCTATTGAGTATTGATCTCTCTTTATTATCCTTGAAAGGTCCCAAGGAAATGAACCGGTAAGGAATTGTTTCTAGACCTCCGTTAGTATATAAGATTTTTGCTAAACTGCCCTATTTTTCCTTAAACCATTTTCTCAACTCGGGTTTCCTCTCGCAGTGGACCCTTGATTTTTTGATGAAAAATAAAATGTATTATTGAGGCTTATATGTTCACCCGTCGTTTGGCTGCAATATTATGCTACAGCGTGGGCAGGTTTCTCTTTCGATTTTCTACAATGATGTTATGTATATTGAAAATGGCCATATGAAGCCTCCTTAGTTTTCTTGCATGTTCTATAGAAAGAAATCGGTCTGGATAAATATCTCAGAAAGTCACAATCTTAATTTTGTTATTATGTGTGTGCGTGTGTGTGTGTGCACGCCTATAAGTTATGTGTGTTAGCGTCTGATGTAGTTATTCATTTTCTTATTGAGATACATACCAGTAGTAATCTGATCCGTGAGTAGGACAGACAGTTTATAGGCGGATTTGGAACAACTTCAATCAGAATCTGAATTGAAAGAATAAAAATTTCACTTCAATAAATTGGAAAAATAGAAGATTTGATAGGTGAAATGTGACGACCTGGAAAGGATAGATGGAGAAGTCCTTTTTCTTGTACTGTAGGAGTGAAGGAATATGGTCATGATTATTCTGGTGTTACTGTGTGAATTTGGTTGGTTTTGTAATATCAATTTGTAAAGGAGTTGAGGTTTTTATAAAACAGGTTCTTTGTTTAATGGCTTGCCTTTGCCACTGTACAAGGATAACTGCAAGAAGAGTGACAGTCAACATCCCTGCCCTGAAATGGGCACAGAGGACGTTATGTAACAGTACAGGTGTCAAGTTACCTGGCACGGACGATGATCAAGTTATTAGGGTAATAACTTTATATTCTGAGACTTCGCTCCTTTTCCTGAGCTGTTGGATAGTTCTGTATCATTTTCCTTTAAGTAAGTACATATAATAGAACTTTATACAAACCTATATATTCTGTCACCAACTTATGATTCATTTTCATGTGGATAATGTAGTTGTGATTCGTTTGCATGTTACCGGGCATTTTCTCCTTTCATTTGATATGTTTTTACTTTACAGAAGCTTTGGGTATCTGACTCTCAATTTTTAATTTCTGGTACTGTTGTTTTCTCTTACATCTAATGAAAATACTCATTCGTAACCTGTTAGAATCGATTTAGTTGAAGGGACATGCTATATTGCCCACGGTTTACAGAATGGCTTACCAGAAATACACTTGGCAACATGGAAAGCATTTTCAAATTTACCTATCATATCATTACAAAAATCAACAACCACGACACTGCCAACACATAATTCAGTACACCAGTTGGTAAATCTTTTTGACAAAGCAAACTAGTTTGTAGTAGACGTTATCAGCGAATTGGCCATATTAGTAATTATATAGTAACACCTATGGTACTAATTTTCTGGATGTTACGTAAAAGTACAGAGATGTTCTATTTGATGTTGTGAAATAGAAGCTGTCATATGTTTGCTGATGACTTGGTTTAACCGAACTTAAATGTGGATTAATATCAATATGTTTCGAGGGAGAGCACGTTAGAAAAAATAGTTTAATCTATTAAAGAACAAGAGTGTTATTGAAAAATATATCGATCAAGGGAAAAACAGATCGAACAGGCCATCTATAGTTGAAACTTTAGATAATCGGGATAGTTCTATAATTTTTTCTGCATATTAGATAGTGTGAACGAGTACTTGGACTTTCACAGACTTGATATTTATCTTACTATTTTTGGAGGAGTTTCTCTTCATCAAAGTTTGATCCCCATCTATTATTGCTTTACCCAGGATTCTGCCGACCAACGTAGATATAATAGTAATCTTCCGGTGCATGATGTGGCTATTGTTGGAGGTGGCATGGTTGGCATGGCTTTAGCTTCCTCTCTGGGTAATGTTTGTTTGTTATTTGACTTTCAAACATTTGTTTTTCATAATCTTAGCTTTCTAATGTTTTCATATTGCTGGAACTGCATGATTACGATTCCTTTGAATTGTCTTTATGGTTCAACTAATCAAGCATTGAATATTTTCTAGTAACACTAACTTAGACTCACGGCGAGTATGAAACATTTTCATACACTCTCTGATGCCATTGGTTAAAGAGCTTAAATAAAGCTAAAATAAACTGTACATTCATTTGAGAAGGTGCTCAGTGATATTAGTTCTTTCTCGTTCCATGGCAGAATTTTGTCAAACCGCCATTGCCATTATTAAATTATAAGAGTTTTCACAGAAGCATGGTTAACTGGTTAAGTTCTTGCTTAATTTTCTTAGTGAGAAATTCTTAGGTGTGTGTGGATTTAAATAATTCCAAAATGAATGTTATATACTTGCAGCGCACCAGCCACTTACAAACAAGCTAAATATTGCCATTATTGACAGCAACCCAGAAGTACTAAATGGCGGTTACATCAAGAAAGAGGATCCTCCAGATCCAAGAGTTAGCACAGTCACACCAGCAACTATAAGTTTTTTTAAAGGTATTGCTTTTTACATTTGATATCCAAGTCAGCAATGCCTTTACTACTACGATACAACAATATATTGAGTAATAGATAATTAATATTTGATGGATATAAATCGGCTAGGTAAATTGTTTCTTTACTGGTGCTGAACTCAGTAGCATTGATTTATGTTAGAATATTTATGTATCTTTTCCATATGTTACAATGCCCCAGCTATCTATATTCGATACATAGTGTATCCTTGATTCTCTTCTCCTACTATACATACTTGATTCTTGTCCCCCACTATATATATGGCTTTGTACTGCTCATTATTCAAGATATTTCGTTCTCCTTCATCTTCTTTCTTATCTGACATTTTGAACTCCTGACCAAATGGGTGAAAATTGTTGATTGATGGGCTATGGCATGTTGAGAAGGGGGATTTTCTGTGCTTCCCATATTTTTGTTTTCTATATTGGTTCACTACAAGTTTTGTCCCTTTGGCTTCTTGGATACTAATGGATACTAAAAATCAAAATCTTCTATGTAAGTTAGTGCTTCGTCTTCCTCTATCTACTGATAGGCCCTGCAGTGCAAAATATGAAATGTTTTCCTGAACATACTCTTTTGGTGCTCCATTTTTCATTGTTCGAAGTGTCAAAAACATAACGAACAGTAAGTTGTAATTACTTTGATGCAACGTTTCCATTTATTAAAGCTTTTGAACCTGATAGCCATACATTGTGTAACCAACTAGCTTTCTATTGCGTTCACTGAAGTCTTTCCTTAATTGCATAAGTTCATGTTGTTGCCATTTTACATTTGAAACTTTCAGCAGACAAATATTTGTTTTTCTAATTGAACTTAGTGCATGTAAGCTTTTCTAAAACATTGTCTAGTCTTTTTCTTCGTGAAGGTTTTTAATTGAAGGCATGTCTCCTAGTAGGCCCTTTTCGGTTCATACTCCAACTGAACCGTTGAGATGAAATGTCTAATTAGAGTCCTGAAGTATTTGGTTTCAATGAGATTAGTTGGAGCTATGCTGTGAAAAAAGTAAAGAAGGATATTTTCTTTTCCTGATGAGGAAGCAAATGATTTCCCCACAAACTTCTAGACAAAGGAAAGTTTGTACTGACTACAAACAGGGTGCTAAATAAATCCCATTTGACATGAGTTCTGGTACAAATTCTTCCAAGGCTGCAAAATTTTGGAACGTTGTGTTGAAGTATCCTTTAAATTAGTCAGGATCTCCTTCATAAAATGTTTATTATTTCATTGAGAAGTACTTGGTGTTTAGTTTATACCTAGTTTTGGTCCTCCACTGGTGTTTAATATAATATAAGCGCTTTCTTGTAATATGATGCCTTCTGACTAATACGACAAATCTTCTAATATAATATTATAACAAAAAACTTCTCGTAATATGATGCCTTCCGACTCCTGTAACTTCCATGAAAATTGTGAGAGAGTCATAATGTTCTTTCTTCACCATATTCTGAAACCATGTATTCGTGTATCAACTCCAGAGCAATTGCTTCAACAAATTTTCTTACCTGGAGCTTCATTACTTGTTAACTTAGGTATTTCGGAGAAGTCTTCTTTTGACATTATAGTTTCCTTTCAGATATTGGTGCGTGGAAATACGTTGAACAGCATCGACATGCTTATTTCGATAAGATGCAGGTAATGATATTAAATGTGAGATTGAGTTTATAAGGATTTGATATGACTATGAATACTGCTTTAAACATCTGGTCTGATTCTTTTTGTGTCTGACTTTGGCTTGTAACCCATCTTTGTTTAAAAGGAAGACAAAACTGAACACTAGCGTATAAAATCTGTGCATTTATATAAGCTCTCTTGAGATCAAACACTCATTTGCCATTTTTTGTCAGACCAAGTGAAGTCATGTTCTTGTGGTGGAGAACGAGATATTGTGATTTGAAAATTGATTTGATTAATTCTTAGTGTCTCTTGTTGATAAACTGGGTCCAGGTAGTTTTTCTTTGGAGCACCTCGCTCCAAGTAGCTATGTTTTGAAGTATGCCACAACCAGACTTCATATGTTACTACCTTTAATTGTTCACATGTTATTGAGACAGGTTAAACAAAACTGCCATGCCTGTAACAAAATAGTGATGACATATTGATGTCTTTTTAGTAGATTAAGATGAGGTAGAGGGCGGTCAGATGAGCATCAAGCTGCTTCCAGTATCATTTGGATAGAAAAAATTAAAACAAAACATTCGACATCTTTTTCATAGGATATGGTAGATTAGGTAAAATTTCTATCTGTATGGATGAATATGTTCGATTCACCTTCTAGCAACAACAACAACAACAACATAGCCTTTTAGTCCCAAGAAAAGTTGGGGTAGGCTAGAGATGAAACCCAAGAGAACTAATGGTAAGAGAAACACAAAAGGGCTCAAAACAAAAGGAAGAGATTGGAGCAAAAAAAGAGAAAGGAGCAAAAGTCACGGTTCTGGCACGTTGATTGCTAGCCTCCAAGCGCTCCTATCCACCGCTAAATCCTTGGAGATATTTCAATCTTTAAGGTCTTTCTTAACCGACTCTTCCCAAGTGAGTTTAGGCCGACCTCTACCTCTCTTTACATCAGCAACCCGCTGTAGAACTCCCCTACGCACCGGTGCATCAGGAGGCCTCCGTTGGACATGTTCGAACCACCTCAGCCGATGTTGAACCAATTTCTCCTCAATTGGAGCCACCCCGACCCTATCTCGAATATCCTCATTCCGGATTCTATCCCTTCTTGTGTGCCCGCAGAACCAACGCAACATACGCATCTCTGCTACACTTAGTTGTTGGACATGTTTCCTTTTTGCAGGCCAACATTCAGCACCGTATAGCATCGCCGGGCGAATCGCCGTCCTATAGAACTTACCTTTTAGCCTTTGTGGCACCCTCTTATCACAGAGAACGCCCGAAGCTTGACGCCATTTAAACCAACCGGTTGCAACTCTATGCCTAACATCAACATCAATGCCGCCATCCTTTTGTAGCATCGATTCACCTTCCAGCGGTGAAAAGAATTTTCTCCATTGCTTTCATAGGGTAAATCAGGGTGATTGGTAATGCTGTGAAGTTTCAACTAAAAATCAAAAGCTTTCATCCTCTTAGTAGGATCTGAACCTTTATTTTGCTTCTGTATTTTGTCCTCTCATTCTGTTTCCTCGTTCCTTTTCTTTATTTTTTTGTTTTCTCCTCTGGCAAGTAGCATTCTTAAGACCTCAAATTTCTTTATTAATATAACATAAATATTGACTAACATTGTTATGTACTTGCTGCTAATATCGTCAACAAGTCCTAATTATTGTTAGAAGTATTCGAATATGAGTTTTTCGAATGTATTTTTTCTAGGTTTGGGACTACTCTGGTCTTGGGTATACAAGATACAATGCGAGAGACATTAACAAAGAAGTATTAGGGTAAGAGCAGATGCTGCAGCATGTCTACTATTCATTATGTCACAGTTCATGTGAGCAGATAAAACTTGTTTGGATTTTTAATATAGGTGTGTGGTGGAGAACAAAGTGCTTCATCAATCTCTGTTATCAAGCTTCCAGGTACTTAAAAAAGCTCGAGAATGTTGGCGTTGTATTCCAAAGCTAGGATTTGTCAATGTCTGAACTAACTATTTTTACCACCACTGCAGAGTTAGAAATGTCAGAGTTTAAATAGTAAGTTTGAATTTCTTATAGCCTATAGGCATTGAAAGATCATTAGCAATTAACTGTAGAAGAGACTTTTTTACAAATTTAAAATTATTAGCAAATTTAGTGTTTTGTATAACCAGCGGTGAAAATTTAGGAGACTTTTCACAAGATCTAAGTGCAAACACTAATGATATAAGATGATATAGCATCATAGTTATTGCTTTGGCATCTTAACGAGAATACGATTTTCTCAACCATAGCTTTCTTGCGTGATTTAAGACCTGGATGGGGTTAGTGAAAGATTGGGAACTTAACATAGGTTCCGAGTTTTTTGATTGCTCTGATGAGTGGAAAATTTATGAACTGCGACTGGATTTATGAACTTGTTGGCCCGTTTCCAATTTTTTCTGAGATTGCGACATTTCCCTGCGAGTTACTGAAGCATTTTTCTCCAAAAAACTACAACAGCACTGCCTTCTTCATGCAAACATTAAGTTTCCCCCATTGAATGAGATCAGTTACATAACTTTCTACAATGTTACAATAATTTAAACTATTTTTTGAAATTTCTTTTTGTTTGTGCCCTTAAAACATCCTGGTGAGTTCAAAACAGAAAAATTTGCATGAATTCTATATCTTGGTAAATTCATTTTCTGTTTCCATTTCACCCTTTTGTTTTTCAATTTATAAAAGGAAAAACTGAACAGTTGAGCTTCTATAGAACCTCAGCAAGTCTGCTCTTATTTAGTGAGTATATATGCAGGTGTTTGTTGTCTGTTCATGAATCATTTAATTCGTTGGAAATGTGAAATAGACTATTCCAAACAGGCTGCAAATTAGCTGAAAACTGATTCACAAAACCGAACCTATATGGTATTTGTTTGTACAATTATTTTATGTGAGCCAGTGCGGTTTGGTTATGAAATCTATAGAAGTTCGGTTGTATGGTTTTCATTGTTAGGTTCGGTTTTGATCTGAACCAATCGTTTGCTCACCCCTTGTTGCTTCTTTATTTGTAGACATGGCAATGATGGCATTAGTAAGTTATTGGACTGTTATTATGTAGAAACATGGTGTGGCACCCTGTCCTTCTGGCTTTTGGGAATAGGTTCTAGCTAGATCCATTTATTGCTTATGTTCCTGTTTCATGACTATTTCTACAACAGTCTGTTTCAAGCACCCATCTCACGGCTTCTATGTTTACTCTTCACTATTCTTTTATTACAGCCTTGTCAATTATTCCCCTTTTTGCGTATGGATTAGCTTTTTATGGCTTAACTTAATAACTCTGTTTTCGTTTGGAATGGATGATGTTTTTCTTTATGATTCTTAGAATATTGTTCCCATCCATGGACTATCAGATTAATCGACTTGCCAGTCCTCTCCATGCTATGCCCATTTGAGTATGTACGGCCTGGATCTGTGATTCATTATCATTTTTGTTGCTTTCTCTGTGCACGACTGCAAAAAATTCTTTTTCTTATTCCATCAATGCCCGTTTTATGGTTGTGGCTGAAGTCCCTCTTACTTTCTTACAACGCGTGACATTGTTTTGTAATATGCTATATCTTGTACTGACAAGGGGGTTGCATGATGGAAACTCGAAGTAAGGTTTTATGTTAGAAGATGGAATATTTTTAAGTTCCATAGAATCATCGTTAACGTAATAGTAGATCATGTTAAATGCCATCATCACTATTGGGAGCCTGTTTACATGACAGCATGCAGCTTTCCAGCAAAAAGTATATCCTAGCAGATTAAGCTCAATGACTATGCAACCGAATCCTTCATCAAGTCCTCATGGATCATTAGCTAAGTTGGAACTAAGTGATGGGAATAGCTTCTATGCAAAACTAGTGGTAAACTCTAGCGTCCAACTTGTTCATTCACAACATCACTGTTTTGGATCAATGAGACAAATTTATTTTTTCTTACATATACTCACTGAAGTGCGAATAAATTTTTCCTGGTAATTCACAGGTTGGAGCGGATGGATCAAAATCGCGTGTTAAGGAGCTAGCCGCAATAAATTCAACTGGATGGAAATATTCACAGAATGCAATTATATGTTCTGTAGAACATGCAGGAGAAAATCAAAGTGCTTGGCAACGATTTCTGCCAAATGGTCCAATTGCACTTTTACCAGTAGGTGATAATTTCAGCAATATTGTCTGGACAATGTCTCCTGAAGAGTCCTCAAGTCGTAAGTCAATGTCTGAGGTTGACTTTTTGATGGAAGTAAATAGCGCACTTGACAATGGCTACGGCCCACGCCCAAAATCTCTACCGCCACTTCCATTCTCTTGGCCAACATCAGATACAACACTCTCAGCCAATGAGTGCTTTGAGGTCCCACCGAAAGTTACCAAATTAGCGTCTGAGAGAATGGTGTTCCCTTTGTCTCTAAATCACGCTAATTCGTACGCATCAAAACGTGTTGTTCTTATTGGTGATGCTGCACATACTGTTCATCCTTTGGCCGGTCAAGGAGTAAACATGGGATTTGGAGACGCTTTTTGTTTGTCAAAAGTTATTGCTGAAGGCATTGCTCTTGGATATGATATTGGGGAGGTACGCACTCTTTTTTACTTTTTCTTTGTTAATTTTACTTGAATGGCACTGTTATGGCATTTATTTTCTGTAATAAATGTTTTAGATATGATATTGGATATGATATTGACGAGATCTTCTCAGATTGTCTGGTAGAGCGATATTATTAGTATTATGAAGTTTTAAAAATTTCTGAGTAGGCTCTTTTGGTATTCCCAAGACTTTTTCCTAATTTTTAGTGTTTCTATTTTTATTTATTTTTTCTTGTAGGACTCATATATTTTAGTTATTTTAGTTCTGCTTATTTTTCTGGTGCATTTTATCTTTATTTATTATTTTAATTTTAATATTTGGTCATTTCGTTGTGCACCTTTCGTTTGTTTCATTGTTTAAACCATATTTACCTATATGACTCATCCTAATTTAGGTCCACTCTGGCAATTAGTTATTGTTAGTCATGTTTGATTGACTCAGTAATAATAGAAATAATTTTGAGAGAGGATTTTCAGAACTAGAAGTGACAATTATTTCATCTTTCCCAAATTCCAAAACAAAACAAATCAATTGTGACACTTAGGCTGTGAAATTATATTACTTCCCTTTCACAAATGTGACCTGCTGAGGTTGATTTGTAGAACAAAAACAATTCAGAGGGACAATATTGGATATCATTTTCTTTTTGTCTCAAGCTATAAGTCTGTTGGGGGTTATCATGGCAATTCATCCTGATATCTTGTCAAGCTTACTGATATATTCCCAATCACTTTCAGTACCTTTGTTCAATCTCAGGTAACACTGCTAAAAAGATACGAGTCAGAAAGGAAACCTGCAAACTTGGCTATGATGGCAATATTGGATGGCTTTCAGAAAGCTTACTCTATTGATTTTGGACCGTTTAATGCTCTGCGTGCTTCTGCATTTCAAGGAGCCAATTTTATCTCGCCTTTAAAAAGATACATCATCTCGTATGCTTCAGGCGAGCAACAATTCCCATTTTTCGCGTGATTCTTGTAACTATCAGAATCAATGTTGTTTTGGTTTGGTAATGACTAAATAATGGTGAAGACAGTTTTAAAACTACAACATTCCTTATGGGAGCAATCTAATTTATGTGCTTGCTTGCTAACAGCTCTGTAAGTGTCATTTATTCAAATTGCTGCTAACAAATACTTGACATCCATTTATTACAAAAAAAATCTGACTTCTGGATTGGTTTTCAGATTGAAACTTGTCATCTCAGGGATGGTGATGCTTTGTTGGTTCTTTTTTTCTTTTTTGGACAATGCTTATGGAGTATGTCATTTCATTAGAAAAAGAACATATCCACATAGAGTATCCATTGCGGACTACACCTGATATAGATACGAATACAACCAATCTAAACCGCTCGATCTACCAGTCGGGCCTACGAGAACCATGTCTAACTTGTCCATTACTTTTGTGAAGTTACCCAGATAAGATATAAATGATCACTCAATCTAGCCAACGACCCGAAGCTTAGTGGCTCGACCCACAGCGACAACCCAAGGCGGCCCAAAAACCAACCCAAAGTCGAGTTTGGGCCACCAAACGGCCGTAGACTACCACTTGGACCACCAAACCACCGAGCATGGACGATCCATGAACAATGGCCCACGAAGAGATTGCAAATGAACTACGCTAAGGATGACCCAAAAGCTATAGTAAGACCCTAGCGCTGATATGACAAACGACCCAAGTGCCGTATTAAGGCCTAAATGACCCAAGGTCTAAAGACAACACAACAGCGATTCAGACGTAATGCTTACTAAATGACAATAAATAAAGGATAACGGTCGAAATGAACACATAAGCAGTCCTACTAATATGGATAAAAACGTATCTCGCGCAGTCCATTCGGGCAACCAGCTGTCCCTCTCGGGTAGCCCGTTGTACTTTCGGGCAACCCTGTCTTGGGCACCAAGACAAAAATTAAGGTAAGATTATCACTATATATAAGAGGTAAGAGCATGCTTGAAATTCTTCTTCAACTTTCTCAGTTTTTAATATTCTGCAACTATTTTATCATCTCCACTTTCTCTCTAGAACTTTCACTTACTTGATCGTCAGAGTGCCAAAGCTATTTTGCAAGTCAACAGCTCCGCTGTGGATCATTCCATCTCTGGTGACCGGGTCATCAAGCTCAACCAGAGTTTTTAAGGGGTCCATCCGGCCTGAACCAGGCTTTATTTGGTGGAGTATCATCAACACCCTTAAGCTAAGATTGATCTCATGTTTATGCAAAATGTGACAAAAATAGAATAATAATATTTGATGATGAGTGGACAAAAATTAAAATTTTGTCTCGTTACTTATATCAATTTCGTGGACCTAAAGTGATGGAGACGAGACCGCAATTGCATTTCTGGACAAATATGACCGGCTTCATATTTAGCATATTTATTTCCTAGTATTTTTGCTTATTTATTAGGACTTTCATTTTATTTCCTTAGTACTTGTTTAGTATTGATAATTAAATAATTAGCTAGCCTATCTTGTTAGGCAAGTTGAGTAGGAATAGGAACGTTAGGATTTTATATATTTCCCGTTCATCTATTCCACGATAGATTATTATTGAATAGATTATTGATATTGAACGAGAGTTCATCTCTTTTCTCCCTTTTGTCTACCACGCTCTACATCAGTTGGTATCAGCAGATCTGAACGATTCAAGATGCCGCCAAAACGAAACGACAACGAACGACGGGATGCCCATCTTGAAGATTTGGATCGCCGAACTGATGACCTAGGGTTCCAAATCGATATAGTGGATCGCCGTGTTGAAGGTCTTTCTGAGGGGATCGAGGAAATTCATCTCGCCATCCGTACCATGATGCAAGGCGAGCAGATGAACCGTGACACCACAGGCCGGGGTGGTCGCGGCGGGTTTCGCGGAGGCCGTGGCGGGAGAGGGCCGGCCGGGAAGCAATGACCGCGTTCACCACAATCGATGCACGGCCTGGACGATGGCGAAGATACCCTATCGGACGAAAACCCCTTCAGCGTCTCACGGGACCATCGGGAAGGCTACCATGGCGAGCGGCGTGCAGAATTCCGGGATGACGAAGGCTGGGACGACCATGGCGGGTATCGTCGCGCCGGCGAGGGCGGCGACAACCGCTGGGAGGCGAGCTTTCGGGTGAAAGTGCTAGAGTTTTCGGGCGGGCTCGACGCCGCGGGGTTTCTCGATTGGCTCGCTACTGTGGAGTCAATTCTCGACTTCAAAGAGGTCCCCGATGATCGCAGAGTGGGTCTTATCGTGACTCATTTACGGGGTCGGGCTGCAGCCTGGTTCTTAAGTTAAAGGGGGACGCGACATTGCATGGGTAAACCGAAGATCACTTCTTGGGCCAAATTTCGTAAGCATCTCGAACGCGATTTTTTGCCGTTTAATTATACCAGCATTGTTTATCAGAAATTTCAGACCTTACGACAAGGTTTGCGTACAGTTGACGAGTACACGGAGGAATTCTATCAGCTCCTTACTCGCATTGATGTTCGAGAGACTACAGCTCAAATAGTGTCTCGTTATATTAGTGGTTTGCGAGTGACAATTCAGGATATGTTGAACATGTTTAAGCTGGATTTGGTGTCTGATGCTCATCAACGTGCTGTCATGGTGGAACAACAACAGGCCCGACGTTCTTCGTCAAATTTTTTGCCGGGCCAGCGAGGTGGTGGTGGTTCTTCATCGGCAGGTGCGGGCCATTCATTTGGAGCTGGGCCATCTGCAGGTTCGGCATCCACGGGCCAGGGGGCGAACTGGGTTGGGAATTCGGGCCTGGACAGCACGTCCGCGGCGGCTGGTAGTTTGTAGGGTCAACGCGCAAGCGGCGAAGTGCGTTGCTTTGGGTGCGGTGAGTTCGGCCACAGACAGAATGCATGTCCTCGGGAGGCGAGTTCCCGTAATTTGTTCGCCGACGACTCTGAAGCATTTGGGGCGGCGGATGTTTACGACGGCCCACCAATTTTTGATGAAGAGCCGGACGTGGTCGAGGAACATCTTACAGGCGATGTGGGGAGAGGACTTGTTCTTCGTCGGTCCTGTTTAGCACCTCGCGATTCCATCAATGAACCAGTGGAGCGACACCACATTTTTGAGTCTACATGCATCGTTGGTAATCGTGTGTGTTGGGTTATTATTGATTCCGGTTCGTGTGAGAATGTTTTTGTACAGGAGGCAGTGGAGAAGCTGGGACTTTCAATGGAACCTCATCCTCAGCCATGTACTCTTTCTTGGATACAGAAAGGCACGGCGGTGACGGTGGATCGTCGTGTTTTGGTTTTCTTCTCATTGGGCCGAGATACCGGGATCAGACTTGATGCGATGTCGTACCAATGGATGCTTGTCATTTGCTTCTGGGTCGTCCTTAGCAGTTTGACCGTACAGCTACACACGATGGTCGTCATAACACCTACAGTTTTCTTTTTGGAGGTGTGAAGGTAGTTTTACACCCCGGACTGGCCCGCCCTTTGCCGGCTTCTATGCCATTGCCTGTACTTTTTCTATCTCGACCAGCTTTTGAGTATGAATTGTGCACCGTACCTTTCATGTTGTTGCTATTAGGAGCAGAGACTGGCGGCGACAGGGAACCTTCCACTGCCATCCTTCCCTTGTTATCTGAGTTTGCTGACGTTTTTCCAGAGGAGCTCCCGACAGGTCTGCCACCTTTGCGGGACATACAACATCACGGAGCCTCACTGCCTAACAGACCCCATTATCGGATCAGTTCTCGGGAGCACGAGGAGTTACGACGGCAGGTCAAGGAACTTCTCCAGCATGGGGTGGTGCGCCGGAGTTTTAGTCCTTATGCGGTTCCGGCCATTCTCATTCTGAAGAAGGACGACTCCTGGCGCATGTGTGTTGATAGTCGGGCCATCAACAAGATCACTGTCCGCTACCGGTTCCCGATTCCTCGCTTAGACGATTTGTTAGACCAGCTTCACGGCGCGACCGTCTTCACGAAGTTGGATCTCCGTAGCGGGTATCATCAGATTCGAATTCGCCCGGGTGATGAATGGAAGACGACGTTTAAGATTCGGGAGGGATTATTTGAGTGGCTGGTCATGCTGTTTGGCTTGTCTAATGCACCCAGTACTTTCATGAGGGTGATGAATCAGACACTGCGGGAGTTGATAGGTAAGTGTGCCGTCGTTTATTTCGATGATATTCTTATCTATAGTCGTTCGGTTGAGGATCATTTGCAGCATGTTCGTTCGGTATTGCTTCTCCTACGTGCTGAATCTTTTTTTGCGGCTCCCCGGAAGTGTTTTTTCTTGGTTGATTCGGTTCTTTTCTTGGATTTTATGGTTTCGGGAGAAGGCATTTGCGTGGACGAGGGCAAGGTGGCAGCCATTCGCGATTGGCCATCTCCGACTTCGTTCACCGAGGCACGTAGCTTCCATGGACTGGCTTCCTTCTACCGCCGTTTTATTTCGCATTTTAGCTCTATTACTGCCCCGATCACTGACTGCCTCACGGGTAAGGTTTTTCGTGGACGCCGGAGGCTGAGACCGCTTTTGCTCTTATTACAGACCAAATTGACTTCTGCGCCGGTTTTGGTTTTACCCGATTTTTTGCAATCGTTTGAGCTCTCATGTGATGCATCAAAGGTCGGTATTGGTTCCGTTCTGAGCCAAGATGGTTGACCAGTCTCATTTTTCAGCAAGAAGCTATTCGGTCCTCGGGCTCGCTACAACACTTACGATGTGGAGTTTTATGTGGTGGTTCGTGCGGTCTGACATTGGCGTCATTATCTCTTTCATCGTGAGTTTGTCCTCTATACAGACCACGAGGCCCTTCGTCATTTGGCCTCCCAGGATCACATCTCCACGCGCCATGCTTCTTGGGCAGCTTTCTTACAGCAGTTCAAATTCGTTTTGAAGCATCGCTCCGGTGCTTCGAATAGAGTGGCGGATGCTTTGAGCCGTCGGGCGCTTCTTTTGACAGACATGCGTGTTTCTGTGATGGGTTTCAATATTTTGCGGGAGACATATGTTGATGACCCCTTCTTTGGATGGATTGTGCGCGAGCTCGCACAGGGTCCTTTCGTGGACTATACTATGACGGATGGTTTTCTTTTCCGTGGTGTGCGTCTTTGCATTCCTGATTGTAGCTTGCGACAACAACTGATTGCCGACCTTCATGGGGCGGGGCATTTGGCCCGTGATCGGTCGCTCGAATTAGTGAGTCGTTCGTACTTTTGGTCGTCCCTTCGTCATGACATCGCGCGGTTTGTGGG